TTCCAGTTATCGTCAATCTGACTTTCTCTGCTGCTCCAAGCAGACACATCTGAACCTTTTGCCTCCTTGCTGTAAATCAACAGTTCATTCTAATCCATTTTTATGACACTATTTAACATTCTCTGATATGCTTTTCTGCTATTTCCATGTCTTCTTATTTGGAGTGTGTGTGTGGGGAGTGTGGTAGCTGGTATTTGTCTGTTGTTTGTCTACCTTATATCATGCTGTTTATATATTTCGCTTGGTTGCTGTTCATCTACTCATACACTCAGAGAATGCAAGTATATTTCTGTAGGAGCCCTGTCTATCTTGCTCACTGGTAGATCTCAGAATCCTGCACACTCTCTGAAAGTGGAAGGAGAAGGGATTCCATTTAAAGACACTTGATATACAGAAATACCTTTGATTTGTTGGCTTTCTTGACCTTTCCCACAGGATGCATCTGTAAATAAACAAAGGGCCATGAGCACTTTGTATACTCTTAAAAATTACAACATCCACAAGAATTTCACCATGGGGAATGGCAAGCCAGTTTTCCTATGACAAGCAAGCATTTGGAGCATGTTGTCCTTTCTTCCAAACCAACAGCCTGGCTCTTAACTTTTCCCCACTTTGCTGCAGAGTTGATACTCATGTGGACTTTGTTACACAATGTTGTTGTTGCTGTTTTGTGCTATTGAGTTGCCTGTGATTCATAGCAACCCTATGTACAACAGCCCTATTGTCTCCGACATGCCTACTCCCATTACTCCAGTTACTGAATATATTCATCACATTGAGGGTATTCCTCTCTTGTGCTATCCCTCCACCTTCCCAAGCATGACGTCCCCCTCCAAGGATTTATTCCACCTTGTAACACGTCCAAAGTATGTCAGATAAAGCTTCAGAATCTGTGCCTCCAAGGAATAGTCTGGTCTCACCCTCTCTACAAACCTGTTGCTCTTCTGGCAGTCCATAGTATATTCAGTACTCTTCTCCAGCACCACAGCTCAAAGACATAAATCCTCCTTCTATCATCCCTAGTCATTGTCCAGCTTTCTGATACATAGCAAGCAGTTGCCTCTCCAGGATGTCCTTGGTTGTTCTCCTAGCAGTCCATGGTATAGTCAATACTCTTCTGTAGCACTATAGCACAAAGACATCAATTCTCCTAACATCCCTAGTCACTGTCCAGCTTTCTGATGTATAGCAAGTTATTGCAAAGACCATGGTACTTTTGTCTCCTAAGTTTTTTTGTTTTTCTTATTTTGAATAATATTGGGGTTTTTTTGCTTTTTTTAAAAAACAAAATGAAGTGTACATGTTAAGGCACCTTACTTTTTTTTTTAGAGTGCTTAAGGCACTGTGATACTGATATGTCAAATGTGTTAATGGTTGGTTACCCAATGTGGACAGAGAGTGGGGTGGAGCTCCCCAGTTAAAACGAGCTTGGAAGCAGGAGTAGCATCCACTTCCGTAACAGCTTGCCTCTGGAAACCCTATGTACCTGGAGAGAGGATGAAAGACACCGAAGCATTGAGGACTCTCCTTCATAGGGTCGCTATGAGTCGCCTGCGACTCGACGGCATTTAACAACAACAACATGGCACCTTAGTCTCCAGACTGACATCACTGCTCTTCAGTACTTTGGAGAGGTCTCTGACAACAGACTTGCAATTCATCTTTTCACATCCTGGCTGCTGGTGCCAAGAGTGTTGACTGTGGAGCCAAGCAAGCTGAAACTGTTAACAATCTTAATCTCTTCACTATCTATCTGGATGCTATCAATCAGCCCAGTGGTGAGAAACTTTGTTTTCTTGATGTTGAGCTTCAATCCACATTGAAGGCTGCAGTCCTTGACCTTCTGCAGCAAGCACTTCCTGCATAAAACAGATTGTTAATGAGTCTTCCTCCTACTCAGTAGGTTTTCCTTAGCTGTAATATTTACGTAAGTAGATCACCAAGGCTTTCTTCCACAGTGCCACTGGGTGGATTTGGATCTCAAATTTTAGAGTAATAGATGAGCAAAGGTAAATTTGGTGGTTCAATGGCTAGGAATTGCACTGACAACTCAAAGACATGCAAATTCACCAGCTGCTCTATGGGAGAAAGATGGAAAATCTCCCGTGCAATTATCTTTCTCTGAAAACCTACTAGACCCCATAGGCTAAGCTATGAGTTAGTTCTGACTGAACAGTATTAACAATGACAGTTGAGTGTGAACTATTTATAATACCAAGATATCTCTTAAGCATTATACTTTCTTCCTATAAACCCTTTCCCACAAGGCCACACTCCCTTTGCAAAAGTAATGATTAACATATTCTTTTTCACACAGCTCTCTTCACTATGGAAAACACCAAAATACACCAATTGTTAGTGCACAAGGCCAACTGTTGATAACTGGCCATAACTCCTCTTTTGATAGTTTTAGAGTCATGTGGAATTTTAGTGCAATAGAGTTTTCTTTGTCTGTTCTCTCTGTACAAGTAGCCTATCATTTGATCAGCTACCCTAAAGTATACTTAGAATCATGTATCATGTATCATGTCCATGTATTCATGGGCCAGGACCAGAAGAGGGGAGATGTTAGCTGTGCCCTGCAATATTTTTGCTTGAAAATATGCCCTTGAAAAATAATACAGTAAGTAAGTGGCCTATTCAGGCCTGAGTTGCTCGTCTCAGCCCTGCTCACCAAGTAAGTCTCCATGCTACAGATCTTGGTCCTTTTTAAACATGGTTGTTACAAGGAAAGGGCAATGCTTTTACATTCGCTGTGCCTTGATCTCAAATAAAGTGAAGAAATGATGAACTCTTAGCGTTGCAGCAAATTCCAAGGGCAGAAATCAATTTCTATGGCACCAAAATACATGTCTCATTTAGGCTGACATGATTTCGCAAGTGTTCAGGAAAACTTCAGTTTTCAGTAAATTAATTCATTCTAGAGTTTCTTCTCTCAGGTAAAACAATTATAATCAAGGCTTTAATAGCAGTTGCTTGTGTGACAAGAAAAGAACCATGAAAATGTCTACAAAATAGAAACTGAAAAGGACAGTCAGACATTTGGTTTGTGAAGCAGCGTGGGCTCTATCTCTGGCCAGACCTTAAATGCTGGTGTCTCCATACTCTTGTTTCTTCACGAACAGACACTTTAACAGTTTTAAGTCTTGTGCATAGTTTTCCCACAAATATGGACCATTTTAATGAAAGATTGTCGTAAAATGGAGGAAATGAATTACTATGGGAGACAGGATGGATGGGTACACCTTGACTCATCTACCATCCACTGTCCTCAACTCTAGTGAGTGATGTTTGCCTACCCCATTTATCAAGACCTTGCTCAATCTAGCTCTCCACTTTATTGCTGAAAGAAAGGATGACAACTGGAACTCAACCAACAGTTTGTTTTGTGGGAGAAACCTGGCAATCTGTTCCCTTAAATATATAGCCTTTTCAAACTCGAAGGTGTGGCTCTACTAAGTCATATAGGATAGCTGTGAGTCAAAATGCATTCAACAGCACTTAATAACAGCAGGCCTTCTCCATCACCACCCACTTCCCTCCACCTCCAGTTCTTTTCCGTAGAGATAATTAACTCGTTAACTAGGAATTAATCTTCCTGTTAATGGTGATTTTGGGTTCATAATAAGGCCTTAACAACAACAACAACGAAGGAGGCCAGCCAACGTCAAGCCATCTCACTGATAATCTCACCGCTCTTCTTTCTAGGGAGTATTCTGATTATATGAAATAAATTCTATTATAAATGCCGGAGCTCTGGTGGCCTAGTGGCAAGAAGGTAAACTGCAATCTGGAAGGCAAGCGTTTTAAATTCACCAGCTGCTCCGCAGTAGGATGAACAATCTCCTCTCCTGTGATTAACTGTCTCTGAAACCCCTCTTGGAGGGTCAGCCAGGGGCCAGTTCTGACTCTATGGTAAATAACATAAGGCCTTGTACTGATATCTGTATAGATTTGTGACTCTGACAGGGGGAAAAAAAAATTGAGACCAGGTAACAAAACTGTCTTGAAGGATAGAGATAACTAAGAATGAGAAATTCTTTTGGAGGGCCTGTCTTCCACACCAGCAGCTCTGTTGTGTTGTCTGTGGGGCCACAGAGAAAAAGTCTCCTCCCGTAAAGATTCGCGTTCTCCGAAACCAACTGGGGGTCGAGAAGGGTTAGAATTGAGTGGACCACAGCACCTTCCGTTTTTGGTTTCATTTCCATACCACAAATGCACCTTACTTTGCTTTCTATCATGAAGGACCCAGTGATCTTAGGAGTAAATTATAAACTGTGTGACTATGAAGTTTGTTCACTAAAGGTCCTTGGAGACACGAGGGTAACTGTGTGTATGTGTGTGTGTGTGCGTGTGTGTGTGTGTGTGTGTGTGTGTGTGTTTAAGGTGGGAAGAGACAAGAAGTAACAGGTTTCTAGAGACTCCAAGCCTGTTCCCTCGGTCACCAGGTCCTGGGTCACTGCGTCCCGTGGGCGGCACGCGCAGAGAAGCGCCGCACTCTGACTGCGGTGCGGCACCCAGAGGTGCGTCTGAGAGCAGCCCGCGCGCGCGCGTCCCCACCTCCGCACTCGCCCGCCCGCGCAGTGTGACCCGCCGCCGCCGCAGACTCAATCCCTGGAAGAGCGCAGGGTGCGGCGCGGAGGGGAGAGGCGGGCGGGCTGCTGCCTCCAGTCGCCGCCGCGCTGTCCGCCCTCATCTCCTCCGGGCCCCGCCCCTGGCGCCCGCGCTGCCAGGGAGCCCGGGAAGCCGCGGCGGCGCTGCTCGGAGCCCGCAGCTCAGCGTGGGGGACCTGCTCCGAGGCGGGGGCGGCGGGAGCAAGGAGACCACAGCCCCGGGGGAGAGGAGCCCTATTTTGTGCTCAGACAGAGAGGGCTGAGCGTGAGTGTGTGTGACAGAAAGGGCTGCACGCGTGCTCGGCGTGGACCTCACCAGCCCCAACCTCGGTCGCTGCAGCCCTGGAGCCTCCTCCTCTTGCGCCCCAAAGCACGCGCGGCACAGCCATGAACACCAACGATGCCAAGGAGTACCTGACCCGGAGGGAAATCCCTCAGCTTTTCGAGGTAGGAGGTCAGGGCTGGGAGAGTACCGGGAGATGGTCTGAAGATTAGAGGGATTCAGGGTGAAAAGCCGCACCCGGTCTCACCTTATCCACTAGGGACCTGGAAGTGAAGGGGCTCGCAGGAGCTCACTGGTCCGCTCACCTAGGGGTTGCTGCCTTTCCTGAGGCTTGCCACGGTCCTCGGCTGATGATGGCTGGGTCTCTGTAATCGAGTTTCAGCCTGGGAGCCGGCTTCTGGAAAGAAGCTTCCCGAGCGCACCCCTTAAATGCGAACACTCAGGGTAGGATGCAGGTAGCGGCCCGGCAATGCACCCTGAGGCTGAAGGCCAGGGGAGGTGGTTCCCAGTGAGGTGAGCACAGACTCGAAATACAAGGACTTAAAAGTCCAGGTCCCTCTACCTACCGAGGCTGGAGACCTTCACATTGAAAAGGAAGTGTGGACGAAAGAAGCTTTCCTGGGGGATAGCCTGGAGGAAGGAGGTGGAGATGCAAAAAAACAAATCTCAATCCAGCAAGAGCTTCGAGACAGGCACCCAAGCCGCTCTGCGCTTTCAGTGAAATGAACTCCGGAACACGTTTTGGTCACTTTGGAAGGGATTGATTCTTCTTTCTTGCTTCCCTGGCCCATCTGTCCCCTACCAACTCTCACCCACATAGAGACAGGGGCTCGAGCACTGGCGAGGTGGGCTTAGCTCCTGTTGCTCGGTGTTCAGACCACATCATGGTAACATCTGCACGGAGCACACTTTGAAAATGTGAGGAGATTTTAAGGGATGAACTAAAGACATCTTGGGTTAGTTCTTAAACTACATGCTGTTGCGCGTGGTTTTGCTGCTTTTCCTCCTCACCTTATTCAAATTTTAAGAAGACATTCCTGAAAACTATGTCCTTTTGCTTATATTTTTTTTAAAAAAAAAAAAAGCTATTCAAGCTCCTTATTGCCAGCCTTTTGGGAAGGGAAAAACATTCACTGCAAACTCGATACTACATTTGCGAAAAGACGATTGATGGTTGCCATGTGAGTGTGTAGTAAAGGGAAGAGTCTTCTTCATGTTGTGGAGGAGGGAAAATGCAAATATATCTTGGAAAACCAGTTTTGCCCCAATATCACGAAACTATCTTTAACATGGTTTACCTTAATTATCAAGCCTTGCTCTCTGTGAGGTTTTTAGATCCAGCTAAAGCAGGATATTCAGGTAATCCACCACTGAGCTTGGCATGTGAAGCCCAAATCCTGCAAGTGATTACTCACCCACAGAAATAGGTTGTGCTGGCAAAGGAAGGGTCATGGAAATTTGCAGGATTCATAAAGAGTTTATATATACACACACACATACATATTTTCCAAGAAGTATGGAGAGGAAGAAATGGAAGGGTTTTGTCCTGATAATACTTTTACACTCTTTTCATTCAGATTTTATCCCTATATCATTACTGGGTTCATTTGGTTCAGGAGAGTCACCTGATTGCAAATTGCTACTAAGTAGTAATACCTCTCTTCTTTCTAACTGTGGGTTACTGTTTTTCTTCCTCAAGGGAGCAGAAGCACAGAGAATGGTTAGTAGTATGTTCATGAAAATCTACACTGTGTATGCAAATAATTGATGGCAAGCAAATTTTTGTTTAGGTTCTATGCTTCTGGTTGATTTTTCTTCATATGAATGGTCTGCTTCACAACTGTGCACACCCAGAAAAGGAAACCAACCTCTAGGGAAAATTCAGAATATTCAATCCCAGACACTGGGTTGATGGAGAAGACCTGTTTGTGGTCTCCCAGTAACACACACTGTTGTACACAGTACAAAAGTGAAGCAACACCTGGCAACTCTCCATTAGATGAGTGCAGAGAGCAAAATCTGTAGGTCCCCAATCTGTATTTTCTCCCTAAACCCACAACATCCTCAGTATTCAGAATTAAGCAACTCTCAAACTCAAAAAATTGCCTCCTTCAGGGGTGGATATTAGATACCGTTACAAAATAAATGGCTGATTATATTGTTTACTTGTTATATAACAACTAAATATATCTAGAGGACTTTTTCCTGATTTCTTCCTGAAATCGCATCCCAGCTGCATTGCCAACGAAAAGTCTGCACATCTTTGCTTCTTTGAATCCACCAGTAACTCTAAAGGGAAAAGGTGGATCTTCTTTTCCCATTAAGACTTGAAGCCTCAGAAACCTAACAGAAGGTCATTGTGAGCTGAAATAAACTTGTTAGCAAAGCATTTAGTTTCTTTCCCCCTTTTTTTGGTATTTAACAATAATTTTGTTCTTTTTTTTTCTATATTTTATTAATTTTCATAAACATTTACAGAGATTTTGGGTTTCCATTCATTCATTGTTGCACTATTCTCTCTACCCTCCTCCCAGTTTGTTCTTGTC